CTGGAACTTCCTGATCGGTTTCTTCACTCCCTTCATCACCAGCGCCATCGACTTTGCCTACGGATACGTCTTCGCGGGCTGCATGTTCGTCGGTGCCTTTGTCGTCTACTTCTTCGTCATGGAGGGTAAGGGCCGTACTCTTGAGGAGCTTGACTGGCTGTACGTCAACAAGGTCAAGCCCTGGAAGAGCAGCAAATTTGAGATCCCCGCTCTGCACTCCTTCCAGTACGAGGAGGAGCGCAAGCAGTCTCGTTCTTACCACGCGGAGAACGCGTAAATATCGGGTTAGGAGTTTTGGGAGATTGTCTATATGTTGATGGATATGTCTTGCATGATACTATTGCATGTTTGCATGTTGCATGATTCGCATGATACCTTATTATTTTATACCATGTACTGTTAATTTTTTAGAGTTGATGCATCAACTGGATTTCAAAATTTTATTCTTCGAGTGATTTTCTTTTCGTTTTTCTTCTTTGCTTCTGTAGTGATTGATATTGTTTCATCTGGGCAGGGTGGAGAGTCTGCATTGAAGAGTATTGTATTCATAGTTATATTTCTAGATCCATCAATAGACATTGCAGTCCAGTCAACCATATCTTCACATATTCCATTCATAGCCGTCCATAGAATTCACCCCAATCAACAGTGATGGAACCCCATCATTCAATCTTATCCTAATAATTACAATTCCAAATACTCTAAACCCCTCTATATATAATCCAAAGACCCTCCTAATACCTCCCCTCGTCCTACTTCATCTCCCACCGTCACCATCAAGCACCACACTCCTCGCTGCACCATCAAACCTCAACATCACGTGAACACCACATCGCCACCCTCGCCACTCCCCCACCCAACCAATCAGCATCACCGACCTTGTCCATGACACCGACACATCTGGAAACGTCGATCGGCATCGGCATCGGCATCATGCTGACTTCGGCATTTAATGGAACCTTCCCGACCACCATGTGACCGCATCCAACCGGCAAGTTCCTATCCCTATATGGTGAAATAAATATCGGGAATCTGCGAAGAAGCAACATTCATCGGGAGTCTCCGTCGCTTGATTGCTTCTGTCGCTTTATATTGTTAATTGCACGTGAGGTCACGAGCGAGTATATAAGAAAGACTTCAAGTACCAGGTCATGTACCTTTTTTGGTTCTCAGGCCTGGAGATAGGGGGTGGGGACATGGTCGATACTTTTATATTTATGATGGGGTGTTTTATAATGTGGTGGGATTGGATAGCTATTCCAAAATGATGTTTCCATTCTGGTCTGGTTGATCTGTCGGTTGCTGGGAGGTTATTCTTGACGATACAAGAAGTTATTTTTCATGTTGCAAGAGATGATACAATGGTACGTGAGTTTGCTGACTGCTCTGTATGGGATGATACCACCAGTCTACTTGAGACTTCCATGCCTGGTCAGAATACGAATTATTCTTTGAAAAAGACACTGGAGAATGGTCTTTTATTCTCCATGCTACCTGCTGGAAGATCCTTCTGAAAGAATACCAGGAGGTATATTTGAAGCTTGCAAGGGCCAGCAATATTCTACATGCTATCCTCTATTGTTCTTATGGGATGGCACATGTACTAATAACCTATGTCATGGCTTTGGGATGTCTTAACGGCCGTGTTTCAGGAAGATTTTGATATGGCATCACGGCTCGCTCTGGATAATGAGGAAGAGAGCTATCAAGGGGAGGCTTATGCGTTGGTAAACTTCCTCCAATTTGCCTTTATGTTCTGGGGTGGACATCGGTATTGTCTATAACAGGATTGGGTTTCAAAGGACATATTTGCTTGACCCATCTGCTATTTGCAAACTACACTCTCGATTACACTATATACTGGTGTGAATAATAATAGTAAGAGAAGAGAGCAGCAGACCTTGAATTCTTTTTGGACTTGTTTGTCTCTCGCTAACCGCCTAAAAGTGTCCGGGTGTCTTGACCAGCGCGAAGGATTGGATTACGGTATACTCCAGAGAGAACGTACGGAAAGCTCTAGAGAAATATCACCAGAGGCGCAAGCCAACAATAAAGACGAATACATTAGCCCACATCTGCAACACCACAGCGGGACCTCCGATGATAGTTCCTGGCAGTGCGGGTCCGTCGACCTGTCAGATGATGACGTGATAGTGTCGCACATGATCTTGGATTACTGGAGAGAAAGATGATTATTATCAGCAAGTACCAATACCACAAAACGCTCCCTTTCTGAAGCCCGTTGGAATCAATATGGCCAGTCTTGGTGTTCCTGTCTATTTCAGGATCCGGGGTAAGGTTTCACAGTACGTTAGCGCCGCAACGACGGGGTTGCTATATTTAGCTCGGCGCCTAAGATGAACATCAGATAACCATGACCACTCCACATTCTTGATGAGGAAAACTGACAACATCGGCGCGTATAGATTTTCTGGACCGTCCAATAGTTTAAGAGGGAGGTATGTGATGATGTGCTCTTACGCAGCCTAATAACATGGACTATAAAAACGGGTGCCAGACACCACCTTCTAGACTCCTAACTGTCCGTTTACATTCATCTACTATCATTTTACTACTGCGAAATCCCAATATACCAACGAAGCACCTAATAATCTACCACCAACAAACAACTAATTCTATTAATCACCATCAACTGCCAAAATGACCACCTTCTACATCCCAGTCGAACTCATGTCATACTACTATATCACCATCGATATAGACACCCCCATATTGCACCCATTGCCCTGTGGTATACCATATGACGAAACGACAAGTTACTGTCAGATGTCCAACACCACCCACATCGAAAGGGATATACCATATGACACAACGACAGATTACTGTCCCATTACCGACACCACCCACATCGAACGCAGAGACAGCGGCATCTTTATCCCCTCAAACCCCCCATCCCCCGAACCAAGCACCATCACCATCAACCCAAAACCAACAACAACAACAACAACAACCACAACAACATACACTGCACCCTCCCGTTGGACAACCTTAACCACCCAAGCCGAGCAAACCAAAGCCCTTGACTTCCTTACCAACAACTGCCACACGATCCAAACCCTCCAAGCAGCAAACTACACCATCACCCCGGATACAACAAAGAACAACATCCGCTTCCAACAAACCCCAGACACATACAACCCTTCCGCCCGCCGCGCCATCTCACTCGACTGCGAAATGGTAACCGACATCACGGGCCGCACCCAGCTCTGCCAAGTCAGCTTGGTAGACGTCCTCACGGGAGAACTCCTCCTCGATCAGCCTGTGCTGCCTACCGAGCCGGTCTCCGACTGGAAGACGAAATGGAGCGGGATGACAGCCGAACTCATGGACCAGCACGTCGCCGCTGGAAGAACAGTGAACGGGTACGAAGAGGCACGGGCCCGTGTGTGGGATTTTGTCGACCAGAATACGATTTTGGTCGGCCAGAGTCTGAACTTCGACCTCGATGTGTTGGGCATCGTGCATGATAGGGTCGTGGATACGTACCTTCTCATGAAGGGGGAGAGGAGAGGGAGGAGCTGTCGCCTACGAGATATCGTTAGGGATTGCTGTGGGGTCGAGATTCAGAGAGGGGAAGAGGTCCAAGAGGGACATGATTGTGCGGAGGATTGCTATGCTGCCAGGGAGGTGGCACTGTGGGCTGTGGAGAATCTGGGGAAGGATGAAGGTGGAGGAGGGGGCGGTACCCAAGGATTATTCTGTGTTGAGAGCTTCATGTAATGGGTACTACCTCTCGGTGAAGGATTGTGCTTCCTCGTGTGGAGCCGGGTTATACTTTCGAGAGTCTGGGGAAAGATGGGGGTAGTACCCGAAGTTTATTTTGTGTTGAGAGCTTCATATAATGGGTACTATTTTCCGATGGAGAGTTACGCTTCCTCGTGTGGAGCAATTTTATACTTCTCTACTTCTTGATAGACTCTACATCAAGAAGCGTGAGTCAAATCTATGATGACTTTCAATTGTCTTTTGCAATATTTCCTGCGACATGCTACAGTGTCTTGCGTCTTGATGTGCCTCGTGATGCTGAATGGACTGTTCTGCGCCTGGACGAAAAGAATCAACACGTACTATAACGCTCGCGTTGTCCGATCATGGGATACTGATGGTCGGCCAATATTGAATGGTCGACAATTACTATAACACTGTTGTCTTGTCAGGTTTGCCGGAAGCATCATTGGGCTGTTATGGAGGTATGGGGTGAACTCCATGGCTCCTTTCTCATTTGAGATGGCTCAGATGGTGCCTTGTGTGGCTCACCTTGGATGATCTGGCGCGGGTGATGCAGAGCACTATGCATTTTCTATATATTGATGACTTGACTACGATGAGATATGAGATACCCGGTTTACGCTATGAATAAATTGAAACTATCCACTACGCTTTTGTTGCTGTTTTCCTGTTCTGACTGTAGCTGTGAAGGTGTACTGAACGATTGACTCATAGCTACTATGTAGCTGTAAGAATGACGAGATATTCGTGGCATAGAAAACGATGGAAAGTAACATGCATCGACATGACATATGCGTAGAATGTAAGTGTCTTCTGCATACAAAGACATTCTTTCTCGTCAATGCTCATGCTCGACAAAGGGTGGTCCCGCCATAAATTGATGATTTGATATGCACACAAAGAGCATAAAGCTGACAAACCTTAAATACGAGCAGCATCAACAATGGCTACAACATACTTTTAATTCATTGAAATTGTACATGGCATATCCTTACTCACAAGGGCTTATTCCATACCATTCATGTTGTGTCACACTTATATATAGCCCATCCTTGCACGTCATCCAAACAGCATCAACGATTCCACACTGCTAAAAAAGCACGAACTACGTTACACAAACCCAACCCTAAAGCAAGTCACCAATTACATCTACCACAATGACTACAACAGAATCGACCACAACCACCATGGCTACTCAAGAACCAACCACATCCACAAAGCTCATAGCATCATCCACCCCCACCCCAATGATGGACACCGTCTTCAGCATCACCGAACTAGTTGAGTGCATCCTCCTCCGCTTCGACCCATTCGACCTGATGCGCGCCCAACTTGTCTGCCGCCAATGGCGCACGCTAATCACCACGCGCAGCCCGCTCCGAGCAGTCTTATTCTACGACTTCGCCCACCTGTACCCCACCGAACCAACCTTCAACCCATTGATGCGATATCTCTTCCCAGTGCTGTTCCCCACCCCGGACTCCACCAAGCCCACCTCCCCAATCTTCATGCCCGAAGACATACAGCATATGCGCCTCGGCGACGACACAGCCTACCACAAGGCGGTCTTCCGCCCGGAAGCCTCCTGGCGACGCATGAGACCCATGAATATCCCGTGCCGGGTGCGCAAAGTAGTCCGAAAGACAGTCCGGGATGATCAAAACCCAGCGAAGAACCTGCTGGTGTATGATAAAGAGGCCGGACAGGATCCGGTGCTGGGAGCGACGATGGAGCTCGTTTGGGATGTGTTGTTGCATGAGATAGGGTTTTGGCCGACGAATGGGATGGCGGTAGAGTGGAGAGCTGTGAGGGAGGGGAGCGGGGAGTGGGATAATAACTGGAAGGAGGGGGTTAGTGATGAGGAGAAGAGAAGGCTGAGGGCGCCGTATGAGTGCTCGTTTGTGTGTGCGAGTCCGGAGAGGATGCTGGGGTGGTGTGATCGGCGTCAGTTTACGTTTGTGAGGGTGAAGCCGCCAATTAAGATGAAGTCAACGGCGGGGGAGTATTTGGGGATTAGGAATCAGTATGAAATGGATAAGTTTGACTCGGGGTATTATGGCCCGGATAAGCCTCCGAAGTTTGCGCATAGGGGGGAGTGGGAGTGGGTTAATGATGATGGGACTAGAACTTTCGACTACAACAATAACGAGGATAAAATAAGGCCTGCTGAGGATGAGGATGATAGTGGCACGGAGTGGTCTTGGGATGAGGCGAGGGAGTACTTTGAGAGGCCGGATTGCTATTGGGTGCCTACTCATACGCCGCTTTGAGATGATTGGGTTGGGGTATATATAGTCTTGGTTAAATTACGGTCTTCCACCGGTGGTGCTGGGTATGCTGGTGATGCTGGTGATGCTGGGTAGTTGGTAGTGGTAACAGTACACTCTAGGACTGTGCAATGAGAATTTGCCTACACTGGAAGCGGAATGCTTGAGTTCTGTCATGGAATAGTTATAATTGCTGTGGCTACTAAAGCAATGCTATAAATAGATACCTTCTTTGCACATGCGGAAAGATAGGATTGATTTGCTTTGCGCAAGAAGGGATATGCCTCCAGCCAATAGAAAATTGGACGAGCAGAAGGCCACAGCGACAGGCCTCTGCTCCACTGACATGGAGCAGGAAATTACCAATTGACGAGGACATGTTTCGTTCCGGATTGCTCCACCCCCGTGTTAAGAAATGATCATCTGCTAAGCTTCAGCAAATCCTTTGGCAGCGCCACCACTTTCAATCTAGCCTATCAAGAGATGACAGCAGTTTGTGTAACATCGTAAAATGAGGAATCCAGTCAAAAATATCCAACATCCGCTGTCATCATGTTGAAGGTATCTGATTATGTGTATGACATAAGTAAGGGTATTGTAAAGGCCGGAACCAGGCCATGATGCACTGATGGGATGATGGAAAGTCGCATTCGGATTACGTCGTCATTCGGACAATGCTTCCGAGCAAAGCGTCGATGTGACAACAAGCTGATAGTATTGTGAGACAGTATAAGTACGCTCGTCTCCCCTACATCTCTGCAGGACTGTCATGCTCTAGATTCTCCTAGAGTGTCTCATAGCATCAGAACATACCACGCATAGCCCAAATGGACGTCCTCGACGAACAGAAAAGTCCATTATTCGTGGCATGGGACGATGCTTCCTCAGATCCCGACTGCCCGACGGAAAGCTCAACAACCCCGGGAGACGTTAACGGCGACAAAGGACACACGGCTGCGCAAGCGGCACTCGCAATTCCGGAGCTTGTAGAGATGATACTTGTCAGACTCGGCTTTGCGGACTTGCTGAGGATGGAGCAGGTCTGTCGATCCTGGCAGTTCATAATGAGGGGGTCCATTATCATCCGACGGGCTCTGTTCTTCGAGCAGACTTCGGCCTCTTATAATGAAGAGCCGGCGCTTAATCCTTTCTTCCAGAAGTGGTTCTGTCCTGGATACTACTGTAAAAACATTGGGGGTTACTTCGTTCAACGCGGGCCAAGCGGGAAGTTCGCATGGTTTGAGGATGCCAAGCTGAAAGAAATCGTTTTATACGAGAAGGCATCATGGCGACGGATGTGGCCATCGACTGTCCCTGTTGTCCTCGAAGCTGTTAGCCTGCACACGAAGAGGCAGGACCCAGGGCCGGGGATTAGTGATCATGTCGACTTGAACAGGGAGCACAGTCTTCTGAGAAGTGATACCAACGGCATGAATCTCAGCGGATTCCTGGAGGCGATGATATCGCTAATGAACCATTCCAAGTCGCCGGAATTCACTGTGTTCTGGAAGAAGACGGCAGATAATAGTGGTAGACCACGTTGGCAACTGATTGCTATCTTGAACCCAAGCCAGCTGATGTCACCGCGTACTGACACTAAACCGATTTATCCTGGGATTTCGAAGATGGATTTTGCTGAACTCCTTAATGATGATGAGCTGAGCAGATTCCTCTCCTGGACCGATGTGGTCGACGATTACTATAACACTCATGTTGACTGGTGATAGACTACTGATGGATGCTCAGCAGGGCGATATCAGCATATGGCGTTTCTTATGTACGGGGGGAGTCAGATGTTTGCAGAACATGTTGCTTTTTTAGATAGATATGTGCACAATAAAATCTAGGATCGATGCTGAAATCAACGTTACACTTTGCTGAAATCATACTGTCACAGTCAGAAAGAACAAAAGGCTACCGTATTTGGATATTGGCATACAGTCACGCTTTCAGTACATTGGAATGCGTCACCATGTCCATGGTATAATTAATCGTAAACTGCTCTGAATACGCATATTTTATTTCATCACAGCTAGGTTAGGAATGGTCAGCTCGGAAGAGACCAGCCATCTGGCGATTTCTTCTGCGGCTTACTGCTATGAGAAATGTTCACGTGATCAATGGTCGAAAAGGTCAACAAGAGGGTGAATGATTCAATTCCTTTGTAGGAGGTACCTCATGAGCCATTATTAGGACAACTGATGGTTGGAAATGAGAGAGTGCGGCTCGTTCCACTAGGTATTGTTGACGGGATGTGACTACTTCCGGATTTCTTGTGCACAAAATAGACAAGTGAATATCAGTTCTTTCACTGGTCAAAAGGAATAAGTAAATTGCATTGTGGAACATACTAATGTTTATAGTCCTATGAATGTTGGTTTTAAAAGAGCGGAATTGTCCTACGTAGAGATAATCGTCTCGACATGTTGAGAAATTTAAATGCATGACTTCTTCACGTTCGATAGGTATTCGAGGTGATAAGTCCAGCAACATTAACGCGACAACTGAGGTGCTGCGCCTCCCCAAATTGCCAGAGAAAGTCTTGCTCTATCAATTATGGCGCCTCAAAACTGGTATACCAACCTTGGAAAATCTCATTGACATGGAAGATCTAAGAATACAGATCCCCACTCAAACTGTGGAAGAAGAATAGCAAGATGGACTTATACGTGAGGATCAATCTTGTTGCCTTTGGGTAGCCAATGTTCTTAAAAGCCATGGGCAAGACGCGAGGCACATTGCCAACCAAGTCTACGCCTCCGATTGGATCGGACCGAGGATTCAGCATAGTAAAGTTATGGGAAGCCCTAAGCCATTATATGACCATATACAACGCAACCTCTCTGCGCATTTGTTTAGCGATATTGTGAACAGGAATGTGCCTATTAAGCACCCAGCATGTGTTCTGTGAATCCTTTGTCATACACACCCTTTAGAAGAAGATAGGCGATGTATTATAACCCCAAATAAAACATTGAACATGGGACCTTCCATATATTAGAAACAAACTCTCCATCCCAAGTAGGCGCCACTTCTGCTTATTTAGCATGCCGATAAACAACACCATCACGGAAGAGAAACAAAATCCAAGTTAGACGGGTAAAGACAAAGTTCAGCCAACACAACATGGATCCTCCCACTCGAAGTTTACAAAACAACGACTACCACTCCTCCGTAGACACCATTGGTGACCTTCACAGGCATAAATACTCACAAGCATAAAAGAAGATATAACTGCCATGGCCTGTCCAACATCAGCCCCCTTCCATATTCAACAAAAGGGTCAAGAAAGATGTCAACAATGCCTAACCAACAGCCCCTCAGCCCACTCATCCCCAGAAGCGTTCCCCAAACTACCATACCCAACATTGTACCCCATCACCTTCACCATCACACTTCCTCCCGCCATACAGGAGACAACAACTCATCTCCTCGCGCTATGCAAAACCGCTTACCTCCACTCATGCTCCCCGGCGCGTCCCCACGGCTTTCAACCCTGGAACCCTCTACCACCACAACAAGCCCTTCCCCCTCCTTTCCATCTCCCTCCTCCTCTACTTCCTCTGACCCTCTGGCGGACATTGTCAGGTCCACACCCAATCAACAGGCCCTTACAGAAGAACAAATCTTGAAGCTCTGGCACAAAATCTTAGTCAAGATCTACCCACCAAACGGCGAGTTCACTCACGATCTCCGCACCGCTGAGATCAACGGAGCTCGTATCGTTTACTGCCTGGTCAAACAGAACACCTGGCCTAGTCCTGGGACCGAACCCGTTTCTTCTCCAATGGCTATCATCTTGTGCAAGGAGGCTGAGGAGTACCATCGCGAGGATACATGGGATCGGACTTCAAATCAACTGGCGCAGCTGAGTAAGTGTCCAGGACAGCCTTGGTGCGCTGTGGCGTATGGGAGCAGGTTGGTGTGCATGTATAGGTGTACCCAGAAACTTGAGGGGTTTGAGATGTTTAGGATGGGTAGTTGGATGTTTGATGTTGGGGTTTGGAATGGAAGAGCTTTGTTGAAGCAGCTTTTGGATGATGTCAAGTTTGGGAAGTGGAAGGCAATGAATAAAGGGAGGGGGCCGAATTTTCGAGGACTTTAGGTGGTGATTGGGGTGTGCCCGTGGCAAAGGAGGCATCTGTGGCGTGCATCTGGTGGAGGAGAAGCAGGCATAGCACAGTCTAATACTGACGAAATGTGGTTGTGGGTGGAGGAGCCAGAAGCATTTATGATATTATCCTATTGACTATCACTGTTCGGCCAGTTAATTACAATTATGACGAATAATAACTCCCTGTGGAACATAGAGCGTTGGAGGGCTCCCAAAGAACGATATACATGACCAAGAATACTTTATATCCAGGATTTATAATACCAAACTATAACATAATAAACCAATCGGCAACTATTTAATAATAAACAATCTCCAGTGGAGTCATAGATCATTATGACCAGCAATTTGAAATAGAAGGGAGTAAGCTCATGAAAGTACAAAGTAGGAAAGAATAGGAAAGGACACAAAAAGCACAAATAACCGAAGTCAGAAAGGAGAAGCTACACGAAGGCTCTTACGAGCTCCAGTGCAGTCACGGGGGCCTTCGACCAGATGGAAGACAGGAGTGGGCGAGCCATCTTCGGAAGACTAACGTGAACGTCGATCTACCCTTAGAACAACAACCAACCAACCAACCAACCAACCAATCCATCAATTGAAGTTGGGCATGCTTTGGTTGGTGGTAATGGACGATAGATATCCAAATCTATGAAGAAGTGAGTTTACTATGTGTCTCATATAGCAGTCATCTCAAACGGAATTCTCCTGCAGCAGAACTAGCCCCACATTCAAGTCCATTCGAACATCAGAAATATAGAGACCTACTACTTCACCATCTGGAATCTGCGAAGGTAGTGTATGAAGCGTTTTCCATCCATCGTCAAAGTTGTAGTGTCTCTGGTCAATATCAATCATGTACCGAGAGATCTCGCCATCGCATACTAGATCCTGAAAGTTCTTATAATTGTCAAAGGATTGCGTAGTGACTTGACCAGTTTTCGCGTTTTTGAAGGAGAAATACAAGGTTCCGACATTAATATCACGGGAGAAACTCGCCGGAAAATAAATGAACGTTCGTTCAAGTCTTACATATATGTCAACGAAATCTTCAATGCCTTTACGGATAACAACCTTGTAAAGGCGGTCTTCCTTTTCAACCGTGATTCCGGGCAACGTAGGATCACCGGTGGTGGCAGTGCCGGCGTTGATAGTTCGCCCAGACTCGTAAGTGAACCTCAATCCTGAGATTCCTTTCCACATCGAGCGGGTTTGAAATGGGGTAATTGAAATTAAGCGGTCGGTGCCGTTTCCGAGTGTCCATAGTACCTTGTGAGGTTCCTCCCATGGGTATTTTGTTTCTCTGAACAAGCCGCCGCTCCAACACGTCAAATGACGGGCTCGCGATAAAGGGGCCATAATGGGAAAGATTGAATCCCAGGTATCAATCATTACCCACATAAGCAAGGACTGGAAATTTGTTATCGAGAGTGTACATTATGGCGTGTAGGCTCTCGGGTGGCAGGGCAATCTTACCAACTTCTCCAAGTAACTGCTCTGGAAGGTCAAGCAGACTATTCCACCCTCGTCAGAGGGCCGAGTCGGTGGCCACACGAAAGATTGAGTATGAGTCGATATTCCAATTTGCATCACACGACCAACGGGCCGTGAGTAATTGAAAAATCTTGTAGCTCCCCTAAGCCAAAGTCGAATTTCCGTTATAGGCTCATTTTCCGGCAAAGTAATTGTACCAACCTCAGTGATCCACTGCCCCAGAATAACGGGACGGGCGGCACTATATTCTAGCCATAAGCCAGAGATCTCATCTGACCGTCTGGGACGACCGTCTTGTCCACAGGAAAATCGTATTCTGACGATGCCATCTAGGGAGGCAGTAGTGTAGTCATAACATCGGCGTTCGACATAATCACTTATGTCGTCTATTCTCTTCCCCTCAAGCTTTGGCATCTGATGCTTGTCGGTCCCCAAAAGTTGTGGCTGATGCAATTCTACGGCATTCGCCGTTTCACATTGTAATCCGAATGTCTGGAACGAATCACCGGCGTCCTATGGATAATTGTGAGCGACATCTGTTTGCGGGGGGATATACGACGTACTTCAAGAACAGAAGTGAAGCCAACAATAACTTCTCCTCTAGGTGCCCTTATTATATTACTCATATGGTCAAGCTTGTCTTGCCAGTCCGGATCGCAGCCCGCACTGTACGGACCGATGAGTCGATTAGCTACGAATGTTATGTCGCCTCTAAAGTTAGTGAGCATCTAGGAAGTATATATTAGCGCATCCGGTACGATCGCTGGCTTGTGGTTATAGAATTAGCATACCCTAAGTGCGACGACAACGTCCGATCTTCGATCGTATGCAACGCCCTGTATTCTCTCTCCTTTGGGTCCATCGATTAGGAATGACATTTCTATCATTCCTTGACGGCCGAAGTGCAATGGTTCCAGTCCAACAAAGTAGAAGCTTAAACCTAGTATAGGACATTGGGGCTTGGAGATGTGCGCTACGACTCGGCTTAGGTGCGCTAGCCTTTCCCCGCGCTCACCGCCAAAGTCAATGTTCAGGAAACGATTAAGAACTTGGGAAGAAAGAGCCTGAAGCCCAGGCAACAAGCGCGGTCCAGCTCGTGGGGGACATGGTGTCCATACTGGCTCGAGCTGCGGTGGCTGGCTAGGTGGAGAACAGGATGGGCTGTCGTCGATTCCCATTCCGACCATTTTGAATGCCTGTTGCAGTTTTAGCTGACGCACTTGACTCCATAACTATTGTAAAATACATACGTCAAAGGGTGCTAGAACATGAAGCTCTTCGACAGGCCTCTCCGGAACCAAATGTCCGTATGAAATATGCGCCTCCTTGGATTCTGTGTTCCCAATCCATCTTGTCCAGCAAGTGAGCGTGTCGCGCCTCAAGAGTAATCTCAAGCCGACAATGCCTCCTGCACATATTGCCACGCCAAAACCTACAACGTCTTGCGATGAAGGAAACATGACAAAAGGCTGCTTCTTCTGACCAGTATAACCAAGAAGGCGCGTTTGCTCCTGACCAGTATAAGTGTCTGTGAGTGTGAAACGCAGGCCGGCTATGTATTCTCGGGAACCAAAGGTTACCAGAAAAGCCTCTGCTCCGTCGATCTGTCCGTTCCCAGTGGGTAACGCTAATTCCGTCTCACGTATGGTTCTGCCTCCAGATACTAGAAGGTTATAATTATATTGACCAGTCTTCTCCTCCGTTGTGATGAATTTTGTTGAATGCCGCTGCACACGCGGTAGAGTATGTGAATCGCCAGGATAGAAGGCACCACGGACAAAATTCCACTTTCAACAGTGTGATGCTGGAGCAAATCGGCATGTTTGGAGATAAAATTCCATATCCGACGTCGACTTTTGAGGCCCCAATTTTCCGGAAGATGCAGTGCCGCTTTGATTGCGAAGTAAGCTCGACGCCCATTTGACACTGGTCCAGTCAGTATTGGCAACGCAAAGTCCATCTCAAAACCGGGGCAAAAGCGGCTCCACCAAAAGCCTTGTGGCAGGGACATGACACCAGTTTTGGCAGCTACCCAAGGAGAGGCCAATCTCAGGTCCCCCACCGATTTTGAGGATAGGTAGCTGGAAATATAATGTATCATTTCAGTTGGGAGAGTGGAAAACCTATCACTGTCGGCACCAATGGTGCTGGGGACACTGATAGTACAAGGGAAGCTATCATGTTCGCGCCCTGGAAGGAACAAGCTTTCCACACTAAGTAAGTGAGAGGGGTTAACCAAGAGATAAGCATGTTGACTGCGGATAATATCCGCCTCAGGGCTGTCAAATTGTCGCTGAAAGTGGGCTGCGCCCTCAGAGCCATGCTCCGAGTCTTCAATGCAAGTACCTTTCCACACGGAACAGTAGAGTATAGCGTGTAAGGTAGTACAAATTCTTGTAACGTTCGATTCCGTTCGTGGTGTGCTTTGGATAATGATATCCCAGCAGCCGGCATGAAGGATGAAAGACCAGTGTCCATCAATATCAAGGAATTTGACATATTCTTCACGTTGGGCATGTCGGTCTGTGATAGAAGCTTCTGGTTCAGGCGTGGCGAGAACTCTCTCATTGGGGTCGAGGTAACCTATACCACTGATTGTAGCCGGGGCCCAAAATACGTGACGTCTGACTGTTTGCCACACGGCAATAATCAGCCCGGGCGAACAATGAAACCAACGGAGGTTAGAGGTCATAAGATGAGGGAATAACGAACCCACACGAATCATCTGGTACCATTCCAGCGCCGTTACCTCGCCTAGTGCATTGACCGTAACTGGCTCGATAACGACCCCACAAATGGGGCAGAAGAAGTTCCTGCGTACCATCGTGATCAATTGTCGATCCACGTATTGGGCGACTGTTGGGAGGTGTCCAGACCACTTTCGAGGGGGTCAGGTCACAATTAGATTGAATAGCCTAATCAAGCCGAAGGGTCGGAGTGAGCCTGATTTACTTGACGGGCCAATGGAGGATGGAGCAACTCAGTGACTTTGATGGGAAATGGAGATGGCGAAGCCTGGGACGAAGAGGGGCAGATGGAACTTGTTTGCACGCATTGTATCAGGTGACACAGGTTACACGGTGTGAACTCTCAGTGACAGCAGACACTGGTCAATAAACATGGCGAGTAAGCAGATATGATAGATGCACATTCGTGTACATCAACACGTGCAGAGCCGCAGCCGCAGCCACAGCCTGGAAGGTGGGGCTTTAGCGCGGGACTCAACTCCTACCCTCTTCACACCATAGAACTCCTCACATTGATTGAAAGATCATCACGATCTGGATAGATTGCCCTGCGACATCGAAATCTACATTCGACAATATGACATCTCAACCCATATCCGTCTTCTTCCGTCACGTCACTCTATTCAGCGCGCTCACCGCTATCAAACCGGACTCGACCGTATCGCCTGTCAGCATCTTCTGGACAAACGCATGCATCGCCTTCTTTCCACTGTTCTCGGGATTCAAGGTTGCCGGCAATGAGGTAGTCTGGGGAGATGACAAACTGCCTGATTGCATCGTGCTACAAATCGCCATGCTTGACCCTTCCCCAGAGCCTCGGCGCAACGATACTGTTCCATCCGAAAACCTAGTATTCGTTGTGCAGTGTCGAAGCTATGAAAAGGACAATCCGTCCGAGTGGGAATCAGCAGAGGGTCAACTACTGGATTACTGCCTGGGGCACATCCGTGGAATAACGCGAACCTTTGCAGCCACGGCAATTGGAACCAGAGTCAGATTCTGGAGATACGACAAACCAGAACTCACGCCTTTATTTGCCAATGATAAGACCTATCATCTGCTTGATGGTTCTGATAGTTGTGAAGTTGAACAGTGTCTGAACTATATTCGAGAAAATGGATGGAACTGGGTGCAGTATGGCACCCGGCGGCCATGATAGCTTCAAGGACGTCTCTTTGGTTCTGAAATGTTTTCCTGTCGCAGCGAGGTTGCAGAAAGCATATTTTGTGAGGATTCATGATACTGTTGTTTTGCTTTGTCTTGAATTTTGTCCATCCTGGCCAAGATGCCACTATTTGATACTTTCGGGGGGAAATGTGGAAGATTTTCAAATCAAACGTTGTTCCGTGATAAACAGTCGATTACAAGCTAAGTGACTATCATGGTGTGTAATGAACACGGTTGGATAAATGCATCATGGGGTCTAACGGCTTCGGTTATCTTTGTCGGTGGATATGTCACCCCCGGCCAAATCTTAACAACTGGTGCCGCGAGCCTTAGACAAGCACAGCAGTAGTTGATCCAGGATAGATTGACTGAGATTCTGAGAATGTCAAAAATGTAGAATTTGGTACATTGAGTGGCCTTACATATCTGGGTAAATGCTACTCGGGTTGTCACCCTCTAGCCCGCTAATCATAGATGCTAACCGATTCTGTGGGAAAAAGAAACGAAATGAAGTCCACCTCATTCAGCTACTCCAGTGTGCTCATCAAACAATGCACAACAACAACTTGCATCCTGGAAGACTCATTTTTCATCATCCCCCAATGAACCAACTCACCGCAACATACCAGACTATTCCCCATTCAGCCCGATAAGATAACGTTATTATTAATAGAACCCACGAGATCCGTAATCCACTGGTCCATTTTCTGCCCGGATACGAGATCTCCACAACCCGTAAGCTTACCTCCTTGCTCCTTGTTCTGGCTTTATAAACCCCATCATCCCCGATCCTTGCAATTCAATGTTTGTGTGCCTCACGACCTTATCAAACTAACCAACCATGTCCCTCCCAACCGTTCTCATCACCGGCTGCAGCGCAGGCGGTATCGGCTCCGCCCTAGCCGAGGCCTTCCACGAGCGGAACCACCACGTCATTGCGACTGCCCGTTCCATGGATAAAATATCCCATCTGTCAAAGTATCCCAACATGACGCTTCTCAAATTAGATGTGACTTCTGCCGATGATATTGCCGCCGCTGTGGAAGCTGTGAAATCCCTTACGGGCGGAAAGCTCGACTATCTAGTTAACAACTCCGGTCTCCCGCTTACGTTTCCGGCACTGGAGACGGATATCGAGAAAGCCAGAGAGATCTTTGATGTCAACTTCTGGGGTGTTGTGAGAATGGTGAACGCATTCTCTGAGATGGTTATTGCAGCCAAGGGAGTTATCGCGAATCATTGCTCCATGGGTGGGGTCATGACGGTTCCGTGGAATGGTCCGTGCTTAAATTTCGCTGCTGGGTGAGCAGGAGTTGGTGGACATGATTTAACTAACTTGGGATATAGCATTCTATACATCTTCAAAAGCAGCATTGAAATCATATAGCGAGGGTCTACGCCATGAGCTCGCACCATTTGACGTCAAAGTCGTGACCATCATGACTGGTGTCGTGGGGTCGAATCTCTGGACTCGCGCACCGGAGTTGAATCTGGAGGGATCAAGGTATGCGCCTGCGACGAAGGAGATAATGGATATTGCGACGGGAGCGAATACAGGCGGCACTATGCCTTGCTCCGATTATGCCCGTCGGGTGGTTGATGATTTGGTGGGTGGGAAGACTGGCCTTATTTGGAGGGGGAAGATGGCCTCCATTGGGTGGTTTTTGACGTCGTTTATGCCGACGTGGGTTTTGGTATGTATCTCTTTTGCTGACAAGGGGTGAGTTTGCTTAATTGGTACAGGATATGATGACGAATCACATGAGCGGACTGGACAAGCTGGGTTGATGTGAGGAAGAGGTAGCAAAACTTATAAAGGCTACCGTGTTCTTGGTGTTGTAGGGGGGTTTTCTATTATTCTATCAGTGACTTGGAACCAAGACTTATTGCAGATGCATATATACTGTATGATAAATCAACATGGGATATCGGAAATGGGCGTCACGTTTAGACATATCTCCTTTCAAGAAGAATTTATATCATTTCTATCAGTCTACTTCTAAAAACTTTGTCTTATCCCACAACCAAATACCAATGTTGCTGTATCTACAGCCGAGAATTCAAATCTTCCCCACGACCCGACTGCTCCACCGCTGCGCGCCGAGCATCTTCGGCTTCGGAAGTTTCCCTCCACGCCTCCTCAACCTATGACTAAAGTCAGCATATCGAATCAGTATTTACAATGGTGACATACATTATAGCGATACAACCATCCATGATCATCATCCCACTTATTCGCAACAATCAACGATACCGCTTCGTCGAAATCGTCCGTCTTTTTCACCGACACATCCGATTTCCCATAACCATCCAAAATGTCATACTACAAGATCCTGAGTATATGTAGACTCATATACTTTCCTGGGGGTGCTTACCATGGCAGCATAATGTGGAGCTCGAACTCTATCGAACAGTTCCAGTCCGTCTTGTATTGGCAGTCCGCGCTCATGGGCCCACTTCACGGCGCGCGTAAGTACGTAGACGTCCTCGAGTGCGAAGCCGGCGCCGGCGCCTAAACAAGTTAGTGAGTTCTCTCGCTAGTTTAGATGTTCACCCTTTACCGAATGCACCGGAAAGAGCTGTATATGGTTAGCATTTGGGACACTCAGAGAATGATGAGGACATACGGTGCGATGCGTCCCCGACAAGTGCGATCGATCCATGAGAAATAACACTAGATAACCGTGGTCCAGAGAAAAGGGCAAATTTCTTGACAACCTTGATCTTCTCAAGCACGCTTTGAAGAGCAGGCGAGAATTCCTACTCGATCTGATCAGCAGTGAGTATACGGATATGCATGAAAGGAATATACTTTGTATCTCCAGCTGAACTCCTCTACACTCGCATCCTGTCCCCAGCTCACAGGAGCAGTCTCCGCGGTCTGGGGAACTCGCGCGGCAATCTCATAAACATTGTTTTTCAAGTTGCAGGTATACAGACGATCGGCTGGTCCATGCCAGAAGGTCACGGAGTCCGGGATGCCGGGTATGCTTAGGATGTCGCGGGCGTCTGCGAGTGCGCGATACGCCGTGGTTCCGATGTACTTGAGACGGTGTTTGGGGTGGGCGAATTGTCGGACAACCTAAAATGTGAGTGACGGGTCAAGTATTGAACAAGGGTTGGTCACTGACTGATCGGACACCATCAGCTCCAACAAGAAGATCCACCTCGTCGGTGTGGCCGTCTTCAAAGCGTAGGAAGAATGCTTCTGAGGGAACCTGAGACACTTCTACTAGTCGACTTGAGAGTCGTAGCTTTGATTTGTCAACACCTTTCAGTAGAGCTTGTTGAAGTACGGATCGAAGCGTGCGAGCATGAAGATAGCGAGAAGGTGTGCCTGATACGGTCAGAAGCCAGGCAATTCAAGTTTTGGGGGTCCATACCTTCCTGTCCCTTTGACAACAATAGCTCCCCAGTCTTCCCGTTTCTACATGTCAATTGTTCAGTCATATCCTTTTATAAGAGGCAGAATACCCACCGATGCTGGACTGCATGTCCATCTGCAGGACGAAACAAGTCTTTTGGATCGACATTGTCATACACCCCAAATATATCGAGCATGCGCCACGTATTCTGTTGAATGCTGATTCCTGCACCGACTTCCCGAAGCTCCCGGGCCTGCTCGTAGACACGTAATTCAACATAGGGTAGTTTGGAAAATTCAATAGCCGCTCCAAGGCCTGCTGGACCGGCCCCAATTATAGCAACTCGCAACTTATCTGGAGATCCCGAGTCTGTAGTCATCTTGTGTGGCCGAATGCGAGAACTTTGGTACTCGGGGCGGAATGCACATTCGGGTCTTGGTTGACAATCTTACGGATAATGGCCGCATTTAAGTAGTCTGCCACGTTTATGCATTTGGCTAGGTTCGTGGCATTTGGAGACAATGATAGGTTCGATAAGGTGGCAGACAAGGAATTGTCATTATCAATCATACTATGGAATTGCGTGATTGGCGTTGGTTGTGGCGTGGAGAGGCGGGGTTGTGCTCCGGGTTTCACAGGAACCGCGACGGACTGCTTTAGTGGTGATATTAAGGTATTGCAAGATAATTTGCGATACTTATAAACACCGATTCCATGTACCAATTTAAACGATCTGCCCGGAATTCAGGAGACTATGGGTATTGGCCTGGTGCGATCGCAATCACTCAAACATGAGTCGCTCACTCACTTACTTTACCAACATGCTCATTTTGATCATAACATTGGGAAAGACGGCATATGCACGCATATATACCGCGAGTCACAAAACATTTCAACGATCTGACATTAGTAGCAACATCATGCCGTGACAGGACTATCAGTAGCCCATCAAGTTGGAACCAATCATCCAGTACACTCATAGGACTCCCTGACAAACATGGTTAATCAGAATAATGCCTTTTTGAAAATTTTGGGAAGATCCAAATAGTAGGAGAATGGGTCCAGCATACCGAGGTTATTCAGACCGGATGTTGCCCTGGAATGTCACTGGCCGATGCTGATTGGTCAAGGGAGCATTCACGCTGTGTTTGGCGATCTTGGTTCCACCAAACCAGAAGACGCCCACAGCTAAAGTATGAACAATCGGCTGGTATTCTTCCCAATAGAATGATCTTCCTTACACTTTGCTGTTTAACAGGACACAACTAACCCATGATGTCTACAGCTACTGTTCCTTGGCACGCAGCCTATCCCGCACCTCGGAGCACGGCAATCGGTATCCGTCGCGAGGAGGTACTAGGATGGTTTCGCTCAGGTAGACAGCCCGGACATGATTTCCTATTAATAGACCTACGTCGGACGGATTTCGAGGTAAGTTAGTAGATCGGGATAAAAGGTGAATGTAATTGACATGCGTTTTCAGGGAGGTACCATCCGAGGATCCATCAATCTCCCAGCCCAGACTCTGTACCCTGCAATCCCAACACTCTATTCTCTTCTCAGCCAAAGCCAGGCTACGGAGGTTATCTGGTACTGTGGTATGTTACATATTATCGCTTCCTCTCATTGAAGAGCGGTGGAGTGTGCTCACTAGACTCAGGTTCATCGAAGGGCCGTGGAGTGCGAGCCGCGAGTTGGTTAGCCGACTACATTGAGCAGCAACAAGACACCCGGATGAGAAGTCTTGTGCTAGAAGGGGGTATTAAAGGATGGGTGGCAGCAGGGAAGGAATACACGGATTTCATGGATGAATACGACACATCTGCATGGACTGCTTAAATATACTACTTTGATTCGTTCTACCGGTTGAGGGCAGCAATGACAGTCAAGGGGCTGTTCTAGACAATCTATGTTTCTTCAAACAACTAAGAGTCTGAATGGTTATTTACAAATCAGGAGCTTTTAGGTCACACTTTATGCTTGTTTGGCGCGTTCCTTCATCTCCTTGATCCGCTTCTCTTCCCGCTCGCTGAACCGATCACCAAAAAGGTCCAGGTGAGGTCGCATGAGGATGGTATATTTCACGAACTCCTCCATACAATCAACCAACCGGTCCCGGTTACCACTAGGGAGAAGTCTCTGGTCCCCCGGTTGACCTTCATCTGGGAAATGGGTATATGCCTTCGGGATAGATGACTGATTGGGAATTGTAAACATGCGCATCCACCGGCCGAGTATCCGCAGGGAATTGACAGCATTGAACGATTGCGACCCGCCACATACTTGCGCGATAGCAAGCGTCCGGCCCTGTGTGGGACGCACGCTGCCTGTGGTTAACGGGATCCAATCGATCTGATTTTTGAATACGGCGGTCTTGGGGTGGATTAGTAATTGATGTAGTAAGACGTGAGGGAAGGGATGCCAACCAGGTTGCCATGCTGTTCAGGCGATATCCAAACATGCCCATCGCTCCATTTACTGAGGTCTCGGAGTTCCTGCACCTTAGGATGGTCGTGATCGGTATCATTTTTGACTGGTAAACCGTCGGGATTGAACACGCGGACATCGCACCCTAGGCGGAACAGAATCCTGCTAGCTTCCAATGCCACGAGACGCGAATAAGACCTTTGGCGGAGACTGCCGTACAACACTAGCACTTTCAATCTGTTGTTTGATTGTCGCAGCTCCTGCGCTGCCATCTCCATGGCGATTGTTAACTCTAACTTGTTGACCCAGTCGTCAGATGCGCCGTCGTCGAGAAGAAAGGGGCGATATTTATGGCGAATATTGGAGTCATCCTCGCTCTCAGATATTGCGAGAGATGGGAATGTGTTAATGAATGAGGGGATACTAGGCCCAGGTTGAGCAGTAACGGAATACGCCATTTTGCCGTATCTCCTGGGAACCGATAGTATTACTGAGTGAATGAATGGAGTGAGCCCGTGCAACGAGGGGGCTTGTAGACGGCCAAGCATTGAATATTTAGTATAACACTTTCTGGGCTCGGATCAAGATATACTTCTAGTGAAGTGTGATGATTTATATTCGTAGACCCAGACATGTAAACTCCCAGGGCAGCCGGCGGCAAGTATGTCACTGGCGTACGCTGATTGGATGATGCTCCCTTCCTGCGAAGGTGCACTAGAACCAACAAAAGTGGATCCAGGTCCCCGGCTAGGGTGGAGTCACACCCGTCGAGTTCGGATATTAGTGCATCTGGCTTGGAGGAATTTGTCACAGGATGCAGTTTTACTCCCATTGCTCTCATACTCAGACTACTTATAAACATCACCCGATCAATAGGAACAAAGTTAAGGCAAGACTACAGGATTATCTGGGTCGTAGGCATCAAGAAATTCCAGCTCTTATGTAGATGACCCCTTCAATCAAGCCGTCTCGGGCTTCACAGCATATACTTGGAAAGTGCCTAGACAAAATGTCAATGACTTATTGACCCAGGATGGAAGAAGGTGCTTACTGACCAACCCACTCATTGAGATCTAACTCCGCTATCACATCAAGAGACTGAACGCCGCATCCACCGCTGCAGCGCGTGCTCTGGGGTAAATACGACAACTGTTTATAGAGGTTAAGGTCCGATTTGGTATCCACAATAAACGCGCCTGTCATTACATTAGTACGGGGGCCTCTTTTTATGGTGGTATATGTACCTTCAAATCCAGCCTGCCTGAGATACTCGTCCTACAATCCAATCTGACTAGCCCCAGCAACACACCCAACATAAAGAGCCATGTTTTTGGTAATGGTATCCGGGAGCGGTTTCCTAGCCAGGATATCACCGATTGCTACTCTTCCACCTGGCTTGAGGAGTCGGTCAATCTCTTTAAAAACGGCCTCTCTGTCTGTCGCCGGCACCAAGTTGATAACACAGTTGTTGATAATGCAGTCAATGCTGGAGTCAGGCAGCGGTATGCAGTTGACATTGGCTTCGATGATCTTTGCATTGGACAGGCCTGCCTTTTGGATGTTCTTCTTAGCGAGTTATTTCATATTCCCAGTTTAAAATCAGCCCTGACTCTGTAGGGGGCAGGTCTTGGGACACTCACTTTTGTCATGTCAATGCCGATGGCCTGTCCATTGCGGCCAACTTTACGAGCCGCCAGAAGCACATCAATGCCGCTGCCACTGCCAAGATCCAGAACCGTTTCGCCCTAAGGTTAGAACCTATTTGTTGGCGCCCGTGGCACCAGGTAGCAAAGCCAAACCTCTTTCATGTTCGCGAAACCAACGGGATTTCCACAGCTTAATCCGAGATTTTTGCCTTCTCTGGCAGCGCACTAAGATCCTCCGCAGTGTAGCCGAATGCCCTGGAGACATTCTTTTCCACTTCTCTATGCTGGATGTTATCACTGTATTTGGCAACAAACCCGTAGCGCGATTGAACGTGATTGTAGGTATCACCAGACATATGGTGGAAGATAATAGATCTGTGAGGATAAAATTGTTGAAGGGGGGTTTTGCGGAGCGGGATAAGCGGACGGGAGGTATTCCAAGTGTCTTTATATCCACGGGCGAGGGCAACAATCTATAGCGCTTGCTCCTATTTTTGGACAAGGATGGCTCACGACAACTTTGCTTCTGTATATTATTGATGTTATTTTCATACATGGTGTGTCATCAGTTTGGGCAGGGGCAAGTGGTGGTGAGCCACGTGACTGCTGATTGAAATGAGGTAGGGATCGATGACGCAGCCAAACGCACTAAGAACTCCCGAGTCGCGGAAAGAGAAGGCGCGGGCAGAAACCTTCCTCAATCATCCTTAACTTTCATAAAACCTAACTATTCCTCTACACTCATGGAGCCTCACACAACATCCCAAATCCACGCTCCTCGGAGGAAGCGGCTCAAGATTGCGACGGCATGCTTGCGCTGCCGTCGCCGGAAGGTAAAGTGCGACGGAGTTCGTCCAGGTACCAGTCCCTGTCCCTGACGATAGAGCATGGTGCTCATCAACTACAGCGTGTGGTGCCTGTCGAAGAAGTCACGAAGAAGCAGACTGTATATATGAGAACGGAGCAGATGTCAGAGAGCCTGGCCTTGCGAGATTTTCTGATGAATCCAGAGCCGCCCCGCGCGTCCCTAACGCTCCCATCCAACCCTTCCTGGAGGCAGCCAAGGACTATGCTTACCCTGGACTATGTTCGGGGCTTGGAGCATCCACTGCCCCAGAAAGAACAATTCCCTCAGCTATTCATCCACTGCAGCTGGACAGATCTCCCAGCGAACCCCATGGGGAAGATTCTATGAATGGGATAATAGGCGACCCAGCCCGAACCCGTGAAGTTTATGGGAGCAGCAGTGCTAGCTCCTTCATCCAACAGATTCAGACTGCTATTAACTTCAAGCTTGGTATTGCCCACCAAATTACGGGTGAACAGAAAGCTATACCGAGAAGCCGATCCCCGTGCCCTCAAACCTCCCTTTCCAATTGCGAGGAACCGACTCTCTTTCTACTTCCTCCAAGAGGGCTGGCCGATGGCCTTATAGGGGCCTACTGGGACAACAACTGGGCACTGTACCCTGTAATCAATCGACGTAAGATTGAAACTATTTACGACTCGCTCTGGACTTCTCCCACATCCGCGAATTATCCGCTCATTCCAATGAGCATTATTAACATTTGTTTTGCGATAGGCTGCCACTACTCAAATCTTCTCTCACCCAAAGATCGCATGGGCGCGAGCGACGATTTTTATGGTCGCGCGAAACGTCTGTACCAGAAGACAGGGGATATTCCTTCGTATGAAAGAGTCACGTGTCTATTGCTGTTCGCCATATACCTGCAAAGTACGAAGCATGTCTTCCAATGCTGGATGACAGTCGGGAAAGCGATTCGAATGGCGCAAAGTCTTGGGGTCCATCTACCTGAGTCGACGATTTATCTTGAAAGCGTGAGAGATAGAGAGTACAAAAGGCGGATATGGCATTGCTGTGTATGGCTGGACAGGTAAGCAAGATGGGCTCCATCTCCCAGCTCGTACTCGCCGCTATAAGAGTGGCTTCAAACCTTGTTAGAACTGACACATCGCGCACATTTTCGTTCTCTATTACGGTGGTACTGATTTGGGTGAAACAGGGTTCTGTCCTCTACACTGGGCCGACCGGGTATGATCCCCAAGTGGCTATTTAATTCAGTGCCACTACCGTCCATGATCGATGACGAATTCTTCGAGACACAAGATATTGGTTCTCCGATACGACCAGACGGGCAGCCTTGTATCATGGCTGGTGCTGTGAAGGCCTTGGAGCTCTATCAGATTTTGGATGAGGTCCTTGTTGACCTTTATCTCAACCCCAATGATTCTGAAGACACCAAACGTAGACTCATCAGGATCCTTGAAATAGATAGCAAGTTGCAAATGTGGAACAAGTCTCTTCCAGAACATCTGCGACTTGAAGCTACTGCAACACGTGACTTTCTGGTGGAGCGACAAGCAACAGTTCTGAGGGCACGGTTAGTCTGCCTATGTGACCAGATACAATATCGTCCATTCTCTGTTACGGTTCTAACATGAATATAGCTTTTTGCACGCACGCATCCTCTTGTTCCGCCCGGCTCTTATATCCTATTGTGTTCGAGGTGGTTCGACATCTGGGACAGAACTCTTTGATGCAAACAATTCCAGCCTTGCTGAAGCAATGCTCCCAGAATGTTCACGCATATGCTTCCGTGTTGCCCAGGAACTAATTGAGATTTATGATCGCCATCTTTCACGCCAAAATGCCCTCGGGCCGCTGCCAAATTGGTGGTATTCTGTTCTGTGTAAGCAGTACAAAGGACAGTCTGTCGGCCCATGTTCCAGCACTAACTTCAATACCTCCCTAATAGACGTCTACAACGCCACTATGATGATTCTAGTAGAGCGCTTTCTCGAGGCAAAGGATGGCATTGTGAAAGATCCGAAAGCATATCAAGCATGGCATGCCGCTCTTCGCGTCTTGAAGTGCTACAGTATGGTTGGAGACTCAGCAAAGAGATGTGTCGCCTTGCTGGAGATTCTCTGCGAGAGATTTTCTCTAGATCAACCCGAACGATTCTCTCAACAACAGCAGAATGAGATTGGTCAAGACTGGGATTCGCTCCTAGCCATGTCCAATCCATTCACTGCGAATGATGCGGGTATACCACCTTTTAGCTTTGATGATTTTATCTGGTCAGATGCGATGCCAGCCGAAGCCATGCTTACTGATGGCCCCATCGAGCCTCGAATGTGAATGATGTGCGGCATCCAATCGGAGCCGTGTCCGCAGCCTCGGATCGATTTTTCATTGGGTGTAGTGACTAAGATATCACCAATCAAGTAATGGTCCGTGTAACAAGTGGGGCGCCTCGGAAGGTCTCTCGGGAATATGAGCTGGGGGCATATGGTCTCGAAGATATTTATACTCGAAGTTGAGCTCCCCTTTCGTCTGTCAAACAGCAAGCTTCAGCTGGAGTAATGGAGGCTTATTTTCAGTACCGGCGAATTCAACGTGCAGTCTCCCAAGAGCTTACCAACCTTGAAAAAGCCCCCTCCTGCAATGGCGACCACAGCCAAAGGTAGGTGGACTGTATAGATACGACATCTGTTTAATGCAGTGTATCGACTGACGACTCACGAGTCATCTTTCTAGGTCCCATAGCATTTCCGCTCAGCCGAGCGGAGCATCCGACGAAAACCCCAGCGACGAGTCGATCATCTACGTTCACTGGTCTTCCGCCGACGATAAACTCAACCCCGCCAATTTCAGCATCGTACGGAAAGCTATCCTGACTGCGTTTGTGTCTCTTATTGGAGTTTCTGTTACGGCTGCATCGGCGATTGATGCTGTGGGGCTACCCCAGTATGCCGCGGAATTTCGTACAACTGAGGTTGTTGGAGGTCTTACAACAGGTACAAGATTGTTCACTCGACCAGACCTCAAAAAGCAGAAAGAACATTTGTGCTAAGTCATAGTGTGTATACAGGGCTGTTCATGATTGGTCTCTCTTGCGGTTCTCTCGTTTCCGGTCCTTTTTCCGAAACATTCGGCCGCAACCTCGTCTACATTGTCACAATGGTGCTATACCTTCTTTTTATCATGGCATCGGCACTAGCTCCTAACGTTACTGCCCACCTGATCTTTCGATTCCTGGCTGGGCTGTTCGGTTCAACTCCACTTACTTGCTCTGGCGGAACAGTGGCGGATCTGTGGAGTCCATTACAGAAGACTTATGCATTTCTGATATACGCGATCCCTGGATTCGGCGGGCCCGTAATAGGGCAGCTTATAGGGAGTTTTATTCCATCTACTCTTGGATGGCGGTGGCTCGAATGGATCATGCTTATCATGGGTGCGACAGTATTAGTTGCAGTTCTCCTTTTCCAACCTGAAACCTATGGAGACCTTCTTCTATATTGGAAGGCGAAGGCACTCCGGCAGCAAACAGGTAATTCTCGGTATCGAGCACCGATGGAAGTACGCGGCGAGCCACTAAGGCGACGGCTCTTGATTGCCTTATACAGACCTTTCGCATGGAGTAGAACAGAGCCGATTGTCTTGCTCATGGCTCTCTATCTCACAGTCGTCTACATCGTCCTCTTCACCTCACTCGAGGGATACAGATTTATTTTCGGCTCTACCTACGGGCTCTCGCAAGGCCTCACCAGCATTACCTGGGCCGCAATGTTCGTCGGAATCTCCTTAGTCTGTCTAATCGTACCGCTGGTCTACACATGGACCTCGAAAGAATTCGAGACGACAGGCCGCATCCGCCCCGAAGCAAGACTTTGGTACACCATGCTCGGCGGTGCCCCCGCCGTCCCTATTGCACTCTTCTGGTTGGGCTGGACAAGCACTGTAAGTTTTTTTTTTTTTTTTTTTATTCCTTTTCTTTTTCTTTTTCTTCTTCTTCTTCTTCTTGCAAAGCTTCTGGCTCTCTAATTCCTAGATACTAACACAGACACCAATTTAATAGTCATCCATATCCATCTGGTCCCCCTTGGCTGCCTCCGCTCTCCTCGGCTACGGAATGACAACCATCTTCGTCAGTGCATATCTCTACGTGATTGATTCTTATGGCATTTATTCCTCCTCCGCGCTAGGGTTCATGGCATTCACGCGATACCTTTTGTCGGGCGGGGTGATGGTCGCCGGCGGGACGATTTATGAGAATTGTGGCGTACCGTATACGTTGTCGTTCTTGGGGGCTGTTAGTGCGATTATGGCGGTTATCCCTTATTTGTTCTACTTTTATGGGCGGAGTATTCGGGCGAGGAGCCGCCATTGTGCTGTTAAGGACTAGAGGAGGTTATCTGAGCCTGGGGAAAATTCTGGCTTTGTTATGTTTCTGTCGTGGTTGGCAGAAGGTAGAATTTCCATGATCACTATATGATCCTAAATGAAGTTTCCACTATCACATACGACCACATGGTGTGGAAAACAGGGCTTCCCGTCCGCTCAGCCGTACTTAAGCCACACGCCGGGAGGTTAGTAGTTGGGTGGGTGACCACCAGCGAATCCCTTCTGTTGTATGTTTTTGCCTCTTTTTTTGGCGTATACTCTCTAGTTAAATGCTTTGGTAGCTGATCCGATCCAAGAAAATCTTCTAATTAAGTTCTGTCTGTGATGGTTTCCCGCAGCCAAGCATATGAGGTTTGAATTACACCCGTCGGATAACATGACGGCTCCAGAGTGCTTCATACAGCCGAGCCGGGCCATTAATCTACAACAGGCTTACCACAGGACCAGATCAGTTATAGGAGATTATTGCGGTACTTCCTCACGTTTTCTTTAAGGTTTTCAGCAAATATGCAGCCCCGACCTCGTTATTGCAGCTGCTTACTGCTTCACTAATTTCACCCTGTGTGTCTCTGACGCATCCTGGAGGAGAACTACAGAACTTCAACGAATATCACGGAGCGTGAGCAGCTGATACTGAGACATCGTAGTCAGTTTACTGTAGGGATAAGTCATCATGCGACAGACATAAGCCATGGAAACTAACAGACAAAGTACACGGACAGGCTGAGTTTTGGCTGCGCACAGTGGGGACAATACGATCAACCAGGAACGCAAAAAAAGCCTCGAGGGTCAAGTTTCAGAAGCCACATGGACAAACGGTCTGACCACCGTGCTCCACTGATTCCTGACGAAAGTTCAGGTCCTGGTTGAAACAGACATCGCGATGCGCCTCCTTCCCATCATCTCATGTCTCGGATATGCTTACTATTTGATTACTACACCACCTCTGGTACCAGATTATCCCACGACATGTCAAACTCCAAAGTAATCGATTGTCAGCAATTTGATACTGTGCTTACGGGCCCCTTATAAGGAAGTGCCCTGGCCGATCCATATGCAGGGGCACTCTACTCCCACGTGGGAAATGCATGGCATTTGAAAAGGCCCAGTTCTGAAACTGAAAATCGCCAGTTTCACAATCTTCTTTCACTCGTTACATCTCAAAAGCTTCTACCTCACACAGAAAAGAAGTCATGTCGATTCAAAATATTCTACTTGCAGCCGCGGGCGGCGCAACACTCTTGGTACGAGCACGATCTCCCTCTTGGCGGAGTTTACCATCCTCTCTCAATGTCCATGACTAACGTCCCAGCAGGTCCTTGGAAGAATAATCTACCTCCTCTTCCTCCACCCTCTAGCAAAATTTCCTGGTCCAATTTGGGCTCGTCTTACAGATGGCTACGGTGCCTACCACTCCTGGCTAGGCGACGCCCACCTCGACATGTGGCGACTGCACGAGAAACACGGCGACTTCGTGCGCTACATGCCCAACTCAGTCTTCATCCGCAACGCAGATGCGCTGCACGCCATTTACTCGACGAAGGCGTACGCCTCAGTAGTGAAGAGCCCTCACTACCAAGTCCTCCAAGCCGGCAGCGTAGGCAGCACGTTCAGCTTGCGCGGAGGACACGATCACCTTCGGCGTCGGCGAATCGTCTCCACCGCGCTATCTGAGAAGGCCCAGCGCGGCATGGACCCGCGCATCGCAGTGCACGTACGCAAGTTCTGCGAAGCCGTGCTCCCGGCGCGCTCTGGCGAGCTGGGCGAGCCGATGAACATGGCCGAGTGGTGCGGCTACCTCACATTTGATCTGATGTCAGACCTGGTCTTCAGTGCAAGCTATAACCTGCTTGGTCGCGAAAAGTTCCGCTACATGCCCGAGGTCATTGACAAGTCGAATGTGCGCATGTCCGTGCTCGCGTATATGCCTATTATTGCAGCCTGGCGCGCCGTCGACGCCATCTTCTTCCGCGACGCCCTCATCGCCCGCAACCGCTTTCTCCGGTTCGTCGTGCGCGCTGTTCGCGAGCGCGCTAATCGCGCCCTGGGCAAGTGGGCGCCCGACGCCTTGGACCCATGCAAGCCCCGGGATGATATCTACAGCTCGCTAGCCAAGGCCCGGGACCCGGACACGGGTGAGGGTTTCACGGCGTCGGAGATGGTCAGTGAAAGCACGACGCTAGTGGTTGCCGGATCCGACACTACCTCGACGGCGATCGCGGCGACGTTGTTCTACCTGGCGGATAACCGCTATGCGTATGAGAAAGCCGCGAAGGAGGTGCGTGAGATTTTCGCGGGCAAGACACTAGGTCCCGAGGAAGTTCTCTCAGGCCCGGAGCTCTCATCGTGTAGCTATCTGCGGGCCTGTATTGATGAAGCCCTGCGCATGAGTCCCCCTAACGGTGCGGCGCTGACGAGAGAAGTTCTGCCGGGTGGGTTGACTGTCGGCGACGTTTACATCCCCGGAGGTGTGACGGTTGCGGTTCCACTGTATGCAATCCACCACGATGAGCGGTACTATGCGGATCCCTTCATCTACCGACCGGAGCGGTGGCTCGAGGATGATGGAACTGGCAGCGTCAAGCGGGCGAGACTCGTCTTCAACCCCTTCTCGCTGGGTATGCGCGGCTGTCTTGGTCGCAGCTTGGCCTACCACGAGCTGATGACCACGGTGGCCACTGTGTTGTATCTAGGGGATTTCCAATTCGCTGAGGGACCCATGAGCAAGGTCGGTCGCGGAGTACCTGGGGCGGAGCACGGGCGACACCGTGAGAACGAGTACCAGTTGCACGAGCACATCACCGGTCAGAAGCATGGGCCGTGGCTGCGGTTTTCCAGGCGCGAGATTTCTGCTTAATTATTTTCCTTTTCATTTATCTTTCTATCTTGTTCTTCTTGTTGCATATTACGGTTGGGAATAGGGTTTGTAAATCTAGTGCAAAATGAGGCAAATGGTCTTGGCTTAACCCAAGCCGCAAGCAGTGGTTTTTGTGCGTTTGGAGATTCGCGGAGTTCTTTGATATATCCTTTATTTTGGGTTTATATACCTTCATTATATACTACTATCCCTTAAATAAATCTTTCTTTGTTTCTACATATCTTCATTCATAGACCGAACATGGTAGTAAGTATGAATACTTTGCGTAGCCAGGACTGTGGTCACGGTCCGATTTCATAATATGATATATCCGAGTACACGATCTACCTACTACAATGGCACCAAAGTTCGCAGTTCTCGTTAGAAAAAAAGTGTACAACATGTAAGTAGATTCGACCTAACCTGTCTACTACCACACAGTACAGTACGGCATCTACAATTAGACAGGTAATGCTCCCAAACCTACACTGCAAATCAAACACAGAATATTCCAGAATTTCCGTGTCATCAACCTGAAACAAGTGCCTATGCTATCCGAGTAAGACCCTAGCGACAAGTCATAGTTCAGAATGACATTCTCAGACCTTGAGTAAGCAATAGTAATCTGATTCTTAAGGTTGAACCCATCTCGCGTGGCATCCACGTGGACCGGTTCCTGAACCTGAAGATCGACAGGAGGTGGGATAAGCAGCGATCTTTCCTCATTTGATTACTAGTGTGTTAATGGACGTGGGTTTAATACGAGCTTATGATAATCATTAGTGTGATAATTGCAAGGGTGATGATTAGTTCCTGACTGTTCCATTATTCTTCGTTTATGACGCAATATTCGGCCCCCATGTCAAGAGGAGGCTGTGCTGCTGGTAGAGGCTTCCAACAAGGCTGTTTTGGGGCGACGGACTTCGATACGTCGCAATCGAAAGGTCTTTCACAATTTGGCGAGGGTAGGTTGCCTACTCGATCTCTGTGTTCTCAACCATGGGCATCTGGTAGAATGAAGGGAAGTTTGATTCCACAAATCAGGGAGGGACAGATTCCTCTCAAACTGAGATTTGCATCACAATAAAGAGGCGACAGAGTATTTCCTTCATCTAGAGCATACTGTAGAGGCACGCTTATGTGTTCTTTACGCGTTGTCTCGACACAGAAATGAAGTTTACACTATATCATGGGAGGATGGATTTGTATGTAGCCATTAATGAAACTGCATGCGCTGTAAAATATGTACTACTCTATATTAAATTACAATAACCATAATCACGCTCCAATCAATTAAAAACACCAATTCAACAATCAAATCCAAGTATTCAACTGCTCATCCACAACCACCGTCCTCGTCTGACTCTCCGCCGAAGATGTTGTCTCCATGGCAGAGCTGTAGTCGCCATCCTCATCCACCTCGTTATGATCATAGTGATCTTCGTAGGCGGGACAAGCCTCGTCCTCATCCACCTCACCATGCATATCCCGATACAGTCTCCGGAACAAGGTATCCCCAGTGACCAACTGCTTGGGAGTACCCCACTCGGCCAACCGGCCTGCATCAATCACGGCGATACGATCAAAATCCATGATTGTGTCCAGTCGATGAGCCACGGTGATGATAGTATGGCTGGCGAAGCGCGACCGGATAATCCGCTGCATCATGGCATCCGTCTTGACGTCCACGGCGGCGGTAGGCTCGTCGAGGACGAGTATTGTCGAGCGGCGGAGGGCAGCACGACCAAGACAGATGAGCTGGCGTTGACCGTGGGAGATGGCGGTGGTGGGCATGGGCGCGTTAAGAACATCGCTGTTCTTGATAGGAAGTGGAGGGGGGGTATCACCAGGAGCGGCAATTTTCTCCTGAACCTCATCCTTCTTCTCCTCCGCCTCAACAAGCTCCAGAAGCACCTCCCAGAGTCCGACTTCACGTAGAACATCCATGATATCCTCATCCGTCCTTTCCTCTCTAGGATCCAGATTGAATCTCACCGATCCAGGCAAGAGACATGCATCTTGAGGGATAGCAATAATTCTCTCGCGCACAAGATCGCGACTGACCGACGCTAAATCCACACCATCGACGATAATCCTCCCCGAATCCATCTCCAACATTCGAAACAGCGTAGCAACGAGACTGCTCTTCCCACTGCCACTCCGTCCACAAACTCCAATTCGCTGGCCCGGTTCAATCCTCAACGAAATTCCCTTCAATACCGGCTCCACTTCTTCCTCTTCCTCCCCATCCTCGCCATCACCAGAAGAAGAATAAGAAGCAACCACTGCATCAAAAACCAACTCTCCCCTTTCGGGCCAATTTGGCCCAACACTCCCCTCTCCCGCTTCACCATCCTTATGCTCACTACCTACCCGGCCAACGAATGACCTCACGCGACTTACCGCACCGACACTCGTCTCCAACTGCGCCCAGAACACAATGAGCTTCTTAATGGCGCTACCAAACCCGACAATATTGATCAAAGCCAGACCGATCAACCCGGAATCTGTCGACCCCTTTGTCTTGACCGCGATTGTAGCAAGCACCACGGCTATGCCCGCTGCCACCAGGTCCAGCATCAGCCCGAGCCATTGCTGCACCGACAGTAACGCATAAAATGGTTTCTGGGACTCATTGATCTTATGCAGATTCCGTCGCGTATACGCCTCCTGCCAGCCGTAGGCTCGAATGGTGACGAGCCCGGACAGGGTTTCTAGGAAGTGGGAGAACAGCGGCGCCTTGGCCTCCACGTCGAGGAGACGGAGTATGCGTGAGGTGCGGAGGTAGAAAACCTGCAGGCCGGCCACAGTGGCCAGGATGAAGGGCAACGCCGCGCCCAGATATTTGGAAGTGACGGCCATAAGTATAGTTTGGGCGAGGATGATGCACAGGATCATGGTGGTTTGCACTACCGAGACGGGGAGCTCAAGGTCGATAAGTTCGAGGTCTTGGCTGAATCGGTTGGTCAAGGAGCCCTTATCCGTCGTGTAGAAAAGGGACATCGGGGCTTGGAGGACGGTCTGAAGGAGTCGTGTGTGGATAGTCCGTGCCACGCGCGGAGCCAGGGCCATGACGAAGAAGGTACACCCGGTGACCAGGGATAGGGTGGCCATCAGACCAAGTACAAAGTAAATGCCCCAGTAGTATCCCGCCTTGTCGTTGGGGTACTTGGTATTGTGGTTTCCCCACCACTCAGCCCATACTTGCGAGAAGACGATCACGAACCCGAATACCGCACTGATGAAAATGAAGAAAGCCAGTCTCGGCCAGCCGAAGCACTCCACGTAGTAGGCATACACTGACCAATCGCGGGCGGGGATTTCGTTCATATCCATACTTGGGAGCACGGCTTGGGATTCGTTGTCGGGGATCGTTTCGAGTGTGGCGCTGCTTTCTTGGGGCTTGTGGTGGGCTGCTTGACGCTCGCGGACTTCCAGTCCCCGGATATACCCGCCATGGGACCGCCGGGCCAGGTCGGTGAAGGTTCCTTGCTCGACGATGGTGCCTTTGGGGCCCAAAGCGAGAATGTAGTCGGCTTCGGGGAGGAAGTGAACAGCGTGGCTGGCCAGGATGACAGTCACGCCGTGGCGAGCGAGAAGCCCATGGCGGCCGAAGAGGGAGGAGAAGATGTACTTCTCCGTGGTTGCGTCGAGACCACTCAAGATGTCGTCCAGCACAATCGTACGCTTACGCGAATAGATGGCGCGAGCGAGGGAGATGCGCACCTGTTGGCCACCACTGAGACCGATACCCGAACTCCCCACGATCGTCTGGTCTCCCTGTGGAAGCTGCGCCAAGTCGAGACTCAACGCGCACGCTTGCACCACAGTGGCATACCACCGCGGATCCAACGCGAAGTCGCCCGTGATGTTCTGCTGGACCGTGGTGTTGATCACCCAGGGCGACTGCGAACAAAACGCCGCTTCGTCCAGAGACCCGATGATCGAGCCTGCAGAGACCTTGGTCTCCCGCAAGAGTGTATACAACAGCGTCGATTTACCAGAGCCCACGGACCCAACGACCATCGTTAGTTGGCCCCGCGGCACCTTGAACGACATGTCCCGGAGCACGACCATCCCATCCTTCCACCCAGCTGAGACCTTTTTAAATTCAATAACCGGCTCGGGGATGATGCGTCGCGTGCGTCGGCGACTCCGCGCAGATCTCATCGAACCCACACCTGAAACGACACGGCCTGCATTGCCCGGCCCATTAACTCCACCAATTCCTCCTCTTTCCTCTCCCAAGAACCTGGACGCTCGCCCCTGTTCCCCAGAATAATCGGCCAAAAGCCAACTAAACCGAAATTCAGCGACCTCGATAGTTGGCAAGACCAAGCTAGGAATCGTCCGCCGTCTCTCTCGACGGGCAAGGCTCTCCACCTCGCTACTACTACTCGATCCGCCGGTAGCAGCACGAGCTTTCTCCCCGTCGACCTTGGTCTCCTGTCCTAGATAATCTTGAATGCGGCGGAAGCATCCCAACGCGCCCACAAACCCGGCAAGACTGTCAATCAGCATCGCCAGGGGCACGAGCAACAACTGCAGGAGCACCAAGGAAGTCAACACCAGCGATGTACTCATAACCGCATAGCCTTGGAACCGCTGTAAGAGGATATACAAGCCAAACGCGGCAACCGGGTTCATGGCCTCGGAGACATTGGACAGAGTGACAAGCTTCACCAAGATTAACCGGAACGTAGACGACGCTTTGACTTCCTCCTCGCGCAGCTGCCGGATCTTGTCGCCCAGCGGCTGCGTCAGCCCCGTCATCTTGACTGCCTTCATCACACCAAGCATACTGGCTGTCGCGGCGACGCGCGACTGGATCTGGTCCAGCCAGGCCTTCTGGGCGATACCTGCACCAGTGGCGACCCAGATGGCCAAGCCAGTGGAGACAACGGCAACGGCGGAGGCACCGAGGACGGCGAGATCGAGCATGCCGGCCAGAAGCCAGATGGCAATGCCCATCTGGATGAGGTTGGCCCAGAGCTCCGGAAACGTGCGAAGGCCGCTGGTGATGCGCTCCACGTCGGTACTCATTAGCGTCACTGCATCGGCGCCATCGAGTGCCGTGGGAATCATCTCCAGCGTGTGTCGGTAGATCAAGTCGACTAGCCCCGCGCGCATTCGTGTGATCATGCGGAAGGTCCAGTGCTGCGCTAGGGCAGTCGTCACCGCGATGCCAATGTAGACGATCACATAGACCACAATAAGCCCTGTGCCGACCGATGAGCGGTTCTCGTACCCGTCGTTTTCAATGTAACTTAGCGTGCGTTGTAGGATAAACGGTTGCGCTACGGTGAAGGCAATCTGGGCGAGACGTGGGAGGATGGTCTTCAACAGTGGCACTCGGGCATGCACGAGACAAATCAGCAGTAGGGGAGGATTGCGGAGTTTGGATTTCCCTAGAAAGTGGTCAGATTTGTTCCAGTGTGTGGATGGATGAACAAAGGCAAAACTCACAATACTTCCACATTTCCGCCAAAGTATCCCCATCTTCTTTGTCATTTGCCTTCAAGCTAGGATCGACATCAAACAAAGTGTCCATCGACAACTGCTTCTTGAATCCCCGGAAGAAGATTGGATTCAACCACCACGAGAACCACAGATTCAACTCGCCGGCGGTGGCTTCAAAAGGCAGAAACTTGAACTTGTCTAGCAAGATGCCGCGCTTTTCGGCCGCCTCCAGGCCGAACAGGACGGCTTTGACACCGACGGCGATGCTCAGCACAATGGCCACCTTTTCGCCCGACTGTACCCCCCAGAGAGTACGACAGCGCGCGGCGTCGAATATTAACGTCAGAGCCAGGTACTGTACCAGCAGTCCTGATGGACGCACGCTGCGAACATGTTGCCAGTGCGAGAGAAAGGTGAGTCCGATTTCAAGGAGCAGGACAACAACATTAGCTGCGATTGATGTCCGTGTCGTTGGGCCATTGCTGGCGGTTAGGGCTAGCAGCACAAGCGTAACTGTCGATATGGCAAACCAGCCAGCCTGAATCCATTTTGTATAAGGTTAGTCCTGTTGCCTTGCGTTATCGTCAAGGGGGCAGATCTCATACCAGTTTAGCCACATGATGCCACGATTCCACCACCTTTCTCTCTTCATTCTTCAATCCCAACAGAAATAAAGGTAACAGGAATAATGTGATGCCCGCAGGCACAAGAGTGAGTATAGACTCTTCGAACAGCAAAGTGAAGTCGAAACCATCATAGCAGTCGGCGGCGGGGCCAAACCCCGTCTCGACGTCGACCGGACATTTGGATGCTTGAGCGCCCATGGTGTTGAGCTACCCCTGTAGAAAATTCTATGTGCATGAAGTGGAGAGAGATAGGTCTTTTCCTACATGATCTAGCTATGTTTGATCGGCAATTTGCTTGCTTGTCACAGAGGCTGTGGGTGGATTCCTACGAACTGGATCCATCGCGTGACGTTCTGGAAGGGTTCAACTTACTATGCAGTGAATTTAGTGCGTAGTAAGCAACATTTACCGGGGGATAAACCATGTCAAAAACGTGCTGATGGTTGAATAGTAAGAAATAAGCGTAAGATAGATGGGCGGCGGTGACACTAACCGTCTACGGTAATGCCCTAGAATCATGTGCTAACTGTTCTGGAACACTGCAACTTGAAACACAACGCTAATAATAACAGTTTGATGAGATTAATCCTCCAGACCAGTTACTAGAAGTGCTAGCTCTTAGTCAGTTTATTGTGTGGTTACTACCCAAAGGTCATGGGGCCAGTGTTATGATTAAATCGTTTGCTTAGAAGGATCGCGGAGGTTTATCCACTAATTCCAGAACACGAGGTAACGTTTCTGCAACCAGGCTAATATTAGCTTACTAGACTCATCACATTCACCTAAACAGCCTCGACGAATAATTTCAATGCCGTGCCGACAACCACGGCAGCTTTAGTTACTAGTTTTTTGCTTACTACGCACGTAATGAGCATCGACCCAGTAAATCCCCCAGACTTGATGACTTGGACCCGGCTAAGACGTCTTCAAAAGATCTTAGATATAAAAGGAAATAAAAGGATGGAAGCAGGATCAAATATCGTCATCATCCATCCAGATTAACTTCATCAATCTCACCCCCCTCCCCAAATACTTCATCCAACCAAACACCATGGGATCACTTTCGCCATTCCCTCCCGCGCCCAAAGCGGGCCTTGGTGAGCACTAAGAATCCCCCACAGTCCCCTCCTCCAACCACAGCCACCCTGTACGCAATTGAGTCCCCGGACTAATAACAAACTCAGACTGGGCAAAGCTGGACATGACCAAACATCTTCCCGTCAACGGCCACGTCGAGCTCCGCTTCCATCAATCCACCCAATCCTGGACCTCCCCGTCTCTCGTGACAGGAAACCAGATCTCCATCTCCGGTCTCTGCCCGGGCCTTAACTACGGCCAACAATGTTACGAGGGGTTGAAGGCAATGCGCCGCCGCCGCCACCATCATGGCTCCCAGGAAGCAGAAGAAACCATTGCCGTCTTTCGACCCACCTTCCACGCCGCGCGCATGGCCCGCTCTGCTGACGCCGTCTGTCTGCCTCCAGTCCCAGAGCATCTCTTCCTCGAGTGCATCCGCCTCGCAGTGGCTGCCAACGCGGAGTATGTACCCCCACTTGATGCCGAGGGATTCTTGTACATCCGACCAGTCCTGTTCGGGGCGTCGGATGGCTTACCCTTAGGTCCGTGTGAGGAGACCATCTTTGCAGTGTACTGCCACCCGGCGCGGGCATACCACGGAATGCAGGGGATCAAGGGCTTGGTATGCGAGGAATTTGATCGGGCGGCGCCACGAGGAATGGGTCGGTTTAAGGTCGGAGGGAATTACGCCCCCGTGTGGCGCCACGCGGGGAAGGCGCAGAAGATGGGTTATCATATCACGCTGCATCTCGACAGTGAGACCCATTCCCTCGTGGAGGAATTTGCCACGAGTGGGTTCTTGGGCCATAAGATCGTAGACGGCCAGGATGTGCTGGTCGTGCCGGAGTCGGAGAATGCGATCGAGAGCGTCACCGGCTCAAGTCTTCAGGTCCTTGCCAAGAACAAGGGCTGGAAGGTGGATAAAGCACCTGTAAGTGTTATCCTCGTGTTTGTCTACAGTTTGGTTTATTCCTGGCGATCGGGTGGGCTGACAGATCTCACATCAGCTCCCGTTCTCCTCGCTAGGGGAGTTAGATGAAGTCATTGCTGTTGGAACTGCCGCCGCCGCGGTGCCCATTGCCTCCATCGATCGGTTGTCATCGGGCGAAAAGTATGTTTTCCAAGCGACTGGAGATGGGAAGTTGCTTGATCTCGCTCGCAGCATGCGAGCGATACAGAAGGGACAGGCACCAGACAGTGATGATTGGTGTTTTGAGGTCACGGGATTTTGAGTGTACCGGATACTAGAGAGTTTTGACATAGACACTGTTAGTAAGGAATATGTAAATTTAATCACGAACACTAAAAAGTTGCTTAAACAAGGCTTGGATATAGAGATTGACAGTAAAATGTTTAGGATTTACCGAACGGGTAGACGATGAAACACCAACATCGACCAAAACATCTCCACGTGGGATCGACATGATCAGAGAATGCCAACCACATGGTTTTCTCTCCGATAAGAGCCAGTGTTGGTTCGTGGTGGTCGTTTACTGTTTCATTGTCTATCACTAGCCGCAAATTATGAACCAAAATTAGCATCCTTAATCTCAGACCACTTCCTACTTCTTAATTCTTACTCCTCAGCATCCAGTAAACACCCGAAATGGCCCCAAGAAAGCCTACCACGCGGCTGACTACCACCAGCGTAGTAATCACTCAAGTAATTAACCTCCTAGCATTAGCACACTATAACTAGTCCAAACTACATAATCATCCTTCCAAACTCAGTCTCTCATCCATTCAACAGACCACATCATTTTACCTCATACCATCCCGTCTCATTGCAACCCTATCAACACGAGCATCCATACGCAATCACAATGCTTCTCCTCCTATTCTCAATCCTCATCCTGATCCTCTTCTTCAATGCTAAATCCCTCCCACTCGTCTATTCCTTCCAGCTCCTTCCCTCCCTTTACCGAATCCTGCAACCCCGCAACGCTCAACGCCCCAAAGAGCTCGTATCCCCACACCCAATCAACACCCCGAATCTCTTCTATCCAGCCCTACCCAGCCTCTTCCGCCCCCACACAAGCCAAACCCACTGCCCCCTGCCGGAAATCGACCTCAACCTACACAAAAGCAACAGCACTTTCTTCACAGATGCGGATCTCAGCCGCGCCCGCCTCCTGAGTCGCCTCCTTGGGCCGGCCTTGGCGTCGCTCGGCGGCATGCCCATGCTAGCTGCAGTGCAGGCGCGGTTCCTGCGTGAAATTCGCCCCTTTCAGCGCTATTGCGTGACTACTCGGATCCTGGCGTGGGATCAGCGATCGTTGTGGACGGTTACGTATTTCTTGAGGAGGGAAGTGTACAGGGGAATGAGGGAGGTGGACCTTGATGGAGGACCCACGGCTGTGTTGACGGATTGGGAGATCCGCAAGGGGGTGCTGGCTGTGCTAATCAGTCGGTATGTGGTTAAGGCTGGGAGGGTTACTGTGCCGCCGGTGGAGGTGTTTAAGCGGGCGGGATTGTTGATTGACGATGATGATAATGGCATTACTCATAATGATGGAGATAGGCCTGTTAGCAATGTTGAGGAGAAAGAGGGGGATTCGCTGGTGGGAGAGGGGGGTAAGAATTGCAGGAGCATCGACGCTAGAGTCCAGCCGAAGGATGAAGAGGTCTGGCCTGCAGACCGTGTGAAGGAGATGATTGGGTCTGCGATGGAGTTCATCGGAGAATGCATGTTGTAACCACATGGCACCCATGGCGATGGGTTACATGGAAAAGGAGCACGTTTTGCTTGTTTGGGCACACGGACAGAATGTAAGGTGCGGGATGCAGCAGTTCGAGACATTTTGTTGCTATTGCTTTTGGTACTTGTTTTGTAGAGAGTATGCAGGAAAATATGCGAGTGAAGCTAAGCTTCGGTTCGGTGTTACAACGAATATTCTCTTCGCCTCCCGTGATACTGGTAGTTGCAATTGAAACCAAGTTGACATTGCATAGCTCTAGAGATGAAGATGTCAGTACAGCAAGTCAACCATCACGCATCCTTCGCGGTCTAATCCCAGCTGAAGCACCAACCACCACTATTGCCCATGAATTGTCTCCATGGCCCCCAAATTTCTCTGCCATCCAACTTTACGTACAGACAGTCCTTTCCAGCTGAAGCAAATTCATCAAAGACGTAATACGACCCCCGTATTCCACAGCCACGTTGTCTGATCCAGACAAGCTTGCGACGAGAGGAACCACGTGGGTGGGAGATCTGACATGATATGCAAAGAAGGTTCTTCACCAACAAGAACAACAATAGCTGAAGCAGCAGGAGCTATAGTCATAGTAATACTAACAACAGACGAGAAGTGAAACCCATCATCATAGGGTGTCTGTATGATGCATGAGCAAAAGCCCTCATGTGAGTAGTAATCCTAGTAGTAAAATCTGCCATGGCCCCAAAATGACACTGACATGTTCCATCCCACCCAAAGGTTAACCAGGTTCTTGGGGCGAAAACCTATTCTGAAACAACCCAGATCATGGCTTAGATCGCATTAATCCTATATTAGTGTTGCAAACTTTGTACTAAGACTTGTTTCGAAGTGCCATGGTGCATGGCTGACGAAGATCCCAAGTTGCTTGGTCCTTCTACCGCAATCCATACTTTTCTTCGTGTCAGATTTATGGTCGTATTACGGGGTCCGTGCAATGGGTTGTGAGTGGAAGAAAGCGGGGGACGGTCGGTACCGTAATGAAAGATGGTAAAATAAGGGAGGGGGCTGTGACACAGCAGTAGGTCTCGCGCCCAAGCGTGTGGGAGTGAGATCAGTGTAGGGCTCATTTCATAGCGGGTTCCTACAAGTTTGAAGCCCCCAACCACAAGCCAGCCTTGCCATGATGACTTGAGGCGTGCCATGCCGCCGCCCGTCTTGGCCAGTTTCGAAAATCGCCATGTGGTCTGAGATCCGGGGCAGAGCAAAGTTTAAAAGTGGACCGGGTACCTCCTATTTGTATCTCTTCATCATGTATATCTACATCCAATTCTTTTGTCCATATCAGGTCTGGATAGATAACTAGGGAGGAAAAAATGAATCAAATACAGCAACAACAGCAGAACCCTCTGGTAGGGTCAAACGGAACTACTTTGCCCGTGGTCGTTGACACTCGACGACCATCTGGACGTCCCAAGCATAATTCATACACCGATTTGATGAAACCAGGCGAGAGCTGGGAGGATCTCCCTGATGCCGCTGAGCGGAGGAGGATTCAGAACCGTCTAGCACAACGGGCATACCGTGAGTACATCCCCTACTCGCTGCTCACGAAGAGCATAGCTAACGCTGTCTACCAGGCCGAAACATGCGCGACCGTACAAAAGAGGTCGAGCTCCTCAAAAGCCAAGTCAAAAACCTTCAAGAAGCCATGAACAGCAACAGCAGCACCCCCAACGATAGCAATAGCGGCAGCATCAGCGCGAGCGCCAGTACCAGCGACGGGGACGACCGTCCCACGCGAGCCTCGTCTCAAGTCAGTACTAGCAGCGTCTCTCCTGGTCCCCGCGACCCCCCGAGTACATATTTCCCGTCTCCAGATCAGGAGATGCTGGGCGATGGTCTGAGTTGGCCGACGGACCTGGACCACGACTTCACCAACTGCTTCGATAAAACCAAAGACATTACAGCGACTGTCACAAGCATGCCGACCTCTGCATCACCTTCGACGATGGCCTCGACAGCGAGCGCCCAGAACGCGATGCGATGGCTGGAGTCCGATGTCTACTATCCTTTCCCGCCCCCATCGCCACCCAACGTCGACCCTATGCTCCGCTCAATGCCAAGCAACATCTCCGACACGCAACGGCGGATCGCCTCGGGCTGTTCCCTGTCCAGCCGTGATCCTGAGGCCGACGAGCCCTTGATTCATATTGCCATCTCACGCGGCACAATTGACACTCTCCAATTGTTGCTAATGACATATCCCATATCGGTGAATGTCCGAGATCGGGCGGGCTACACACCACTCCAACGAGCTGTTATTACGGGGCGCACAGACATGATGAAACTGCTCATTGAACACGGTGCGGACGCGGGATTGTGACATATCCACGTGGCCGAGTCGGACAAAATCCGAACGAAACGCACAAAACCCGAAGCACTTATTGCATAGGGGCTTGGTTGGTTACACCAAGAAGGGGCGAAAATTTCTGGTCCGTGACAGGAACCGACCGCCAAGATACCCACTGATCGCAGTCATGCGATGTGTTAATACTTTTTTTTTACCTTTCTGTTTTTTAGAATTCTTTGTCCATATGGCTTGTCTTGGTATCATGGTGGGGTCCATTGGCGAAGGCGTCCTCCCGGTTTTGATTTCTAGCGGCAGATCTGATTGATTAGACTACAAATACCCAACTACGGCTGGCCTGGTTTCCAACAATGAAGTTTTTTCTGATTGGCGGTTACTTGTCATTTCCAAGATAGACTAATAATAGTACACGACTGATAAGTTACACCGCCTAGCGACTGCAACTGCACGGACCTTGAGATAATCTCACTCTTCCCACAGCAAAGTCGGTTTGCTTAACCAATTGTCATAATAAAAACTAGCAAGCTCATTAGACTCGTAAGATTGTCCTTTTCGAGTTTAGAAGTAAGCCGAGATTTGGGGTTGTCGTTGTGCCGAGTAATGATGTTAAAGCAGTCCGTGATGACTTGGTGAGTATTCATGATTCATGATATATATTTTCCGAGGAACCCTAATAACCACCTCATCACATCCCCCGAAAAGTAGTACTACTAGTTAACTTCGAAGAAGTCAATTCATCTAAGCAAATAACATAATTCTTAACATTCGAAAGTACAATAATAATTATCCGCATCTCAATTACAAAACAAAATGCGTTGACACGTTACTCCGTACATTGATCAACATTCCCCAAAACCAAGCCAACGAGTCAGGTTCACTCCGGGCGGAACAAAGGAGTGCCTCAGCCTCAGAGTCAAGAGTCAATCAATACCCGACGGTCAGCCTTAACACCCCCAAAATTTTACGGGCCAACGGCATCACCCGCACATACGTTAGCATCCGTTTAATATGGAAATCACCCGTTCCACGCGGGGATTTACTGGTTGTAACATGGGGGCCGTCTTAGCGTTCGTATTCCCAATTTCCCCCACAGCACGGAAGACAATTAAATTTAGGTGTTCGCTTGGAGGGCGAAGGTGTCGTGGCGTAGCATGTTGGGAACACTTGTTGGAAAAGAGCCTCAGAGAACTCCCGAGCCTCTGCTAGGGAAATGATGCCTTGGAATTTAGTTCAACTGGCAACCAACAACTGGATCCATACTTCGTATACGTGCGATGATCGACGTCCTCTATGCCTGGAGTAGCTTGGACCGTGCATTAGTGGGTGTCAGATTGCTGACAGGAGATTCCGTTCCCCAGCTCTTCTTAGGTAAGACTTTCATTCCACGGAATTTTCCACTGATCGACTCTTAATTCCCCCGAGAAGCTCGGTTCAAGAGATGTTAATCATGTTGGAAGATTTTTGTTCCATTTCTTAGCTGATTATTAGAACATTGTTCCAACGCAGGCTTTTCATGAATTTCCAAGTCTAATAGTGAGTACAATAAAATCAAAAGGTATCTCTTCCGATGAGTGGGTCTAGCCCTTACATGACACTCGGTTCTGAGCTGTCATTCACTCATCCCCTTCCCACAAACAACCTGCAAGGCTGATAAACAAAACCAAAATAATTAACCCAAACCCAAGCCAAGCCCAGCCAAGCCCAAGCCTAATACCCGTAAGCAAGAACGCAAGGAAGCAAACAAACTCTTCCACGTAACCACCTCATCACATCACGCCCGGTCACATCCCCCACCCAATCCCCAGCCTTCAGCCGCATCCAAAGAAAATAATCTAATCTAAGCCCCCTTACCGCCGCGACTCCACTTAGCCAACGCCCACTCCCTAGCCCCCAAAATCAATCCGGGATGGAAGAATGTCAACAACCCGCAGGCCAGCACCATCATCGCTCCCTCCAGCACCATGAAAGTAATCTCCTCATTGGCCAACTCGCCGCCAAATCCACCCTGTAGCTCAGCGCAACGGAACACACTCCGCACAAAGATAAACAGGACGGCCAGAGACAGGGAGACAATGAACCAGGGCTCGAAGGACCGCTGGGCGCGGAGAGAGTCAAACGCCGGGTTGAGCGGGACTCCTTTGCGGCTAGCACGGTTCACACGTAGATAGAAATCCAGAGCCAGACACGAGAAGATGAACAGAGACACCACCTGCCACGCAAGGCCACCGACCATGACGTGCACGCCCTGATCCTGCATGGACGAGTAGGCGTCGGCGATGGAGGCGACGGCACCACCCACGGCTTGCAGCAGCAGGGCGATGATGTCGAACGTGATGAAGATGTAGGTGTAGACCTGCGGGCGGAAGCGGGCGTGCTCAGCACCGTAGATTGTGATGATCCGCGACAGAGTCAAATAAATAGCGGCGGAGATAAAAGCCGGGGCGATGGTGAGGGGAACGAGGTACCTGCCATAATTATTAGACTTCGTGTCTAAGTTGTTAATTCTGGAGGAAAACTCACATCAAGAACCACGAGAATTCGAACATCGAGTAGCGGAGGAGAATGCGTCCGACATAGCCCAAGACTTCAAGAATCAATCCAAGGGTCATGCCAATCATGTATCCACGCGTCTTGCGCTGAATACCAAAGAAAAGCTGCAGCACGAGGA